GCTAAAATGTAATGTATTTCAATTGACCACTCGAAATGCATCTTTGACATACCTAATGAGTAGTTAGGCCTTTGATGCGCAACACGTGAGAATGCTGAAGAACACTAAATAAGCCTCTAAGGATTAAAGATTAGACAGTTAAACGAATCACAAGAGAAAAGTCTCTCAGAATGTCCGATTCTAACGTCATCCAGGCATTTACCACCCAGTTGCAATAGATGACAGCTAGTCAGAAGTGATCACTTGAAAAACTTTATGGCTGAGAGCTTTCCCCCATGACAATCACCAATAGTTTCCTCTTATCTGTTCCCATTTTACAGAGCATATCAGTACAATGAGTCCGTCCTACTCCTCCCTCCCCCCTACCCATTCAACGCTTTTGTATATTCATTATTCATAACTGCACAAAACAGTCACGTTTTGTCACATTATCGGTCAACATGACCCCCACTCCCAAAGGGAGGTCACCAAAATATCTAGGAAATGAGATGCTTGCGTCCCTTCCTACCTTAGCACAGGTTAATTTAAACGCACGCTCTGTATTAACACACGCTAAGGAGCCCTTCCGAGCACCGTGCGTTTATGCAGAGACTACTGTAATGATGTGACTTCATTATCAAAGTTAAAAATGAACTAGAAGACAAAAGGTAAGGGAGGGGTAGGAAATTGTAGGAATCATGAGCTAAAGCACAACATTGCAGGTCTTCTGGCACTCACCATGTTTATAAGTCACAAAGGGATATTTTTAAAGGAATCTGAGTGGGCTGAGGGTGGAGGCTGTTTTGGCTGTGATGAACTACCATTCTCAGCTCAGGCTTTATTAAAAAAGGGAAGTCATGACACAGAGTCAGCACCAGAGGTACCGTGAAAAACTCATTAGCTGAACACATAACTGCCACTTTTCCGCTACATTACAGGAAACTCCACAACCCCCGCTCCATCTAGTTTTTCCCGTAACAAGCTAGGTAACTTGTGCTCAATTTTTTTTTTAGATCTCTTACTCTTGTTTGTTCTGAGAAGTTGGTGTGGTTCTACTCAAGGGAAAACTCAGCTGCATTTTTTTCCTTATCAATGTTGCGTTCTGAGAATCTGGTTTAAGGTTAGAATTAACAATGCTAAATTCTTTCAAATCTTTGTTGCATTCAGAGTTTTGATTTTTCCTGAAAAAAATGGGTAAACTGTGGGATGTCTTTATTTAATCTGTTACATTATGAAAGAATAAGCATAAAGGCCCTCTCCAAAGATCCTCAAAGTTTGAACAAAAGGTCCTTTTCAAGTGACACCTACAAACTTAACCCCTTGACTGTGCTGTGGGCGTACCAGGTACGTTAAAGTAATTCACTCCCGTGTGTGCTCTGGGCGTACCCAGTACGCCCTGAAAAACCCGTTTTGTTTCGTGCACAACTTCGCTTCTACAGTTTTGAATAATGAGATTTACATCTCCTTATTCTCTGTCCACTTGCCGATGCGATCATGTCAATTTTTAGGCTGCTTATAACGGGACGCGCATGTGGTAGGTAAAACAAAGAGACGTGGTGTGTAGTGTGTTCCAGCGAGAGACGAAGTCAGTCTGTTTTTCTGCGGTTCTCGCGTACAGCCTACACATGATGGCTTCGCGTAAGTTGACTACTGATCAGGCTATTGCTGAAATTTATCAGAATGCAGACAGTGGTGATGAATGTCTCAGTTCATCTGAAGAAAGTTATTTTGACAATCTCCAAGATGACAGCGATCAGGAATACAACGATGGAGAGGCAGAAAGAGAAGACAGAAGCAATGCTGGTTATGACTTAGGCCCAGGCTCAGACGACAAAGGTAAGTAGATTCTATGCATAGATTTATCAGTACAGCTGTCTAGAGTATTTTGCTGTTTCAGAATTAGATATGGGTTTTGAGTATATTGTTATTTACAAACGCAAAACCTAATGACTTGTCTATTGGATTTGATGATAGATCTGGATTTTAGATCTCTACATTCTCCATGAGGCCAGTTTTTGTCTCGTGGTAAAGCACTCTTACAACGGTCTATCATGCATTATTCCTGTAACCCTGTGGTGCATTGCTTGTTTTTCTATGTTCTGGCTTACGGAAATAAACATGAAAACTACATGAGCAGACCAGAGAATATAGGTACTATAAAAAAAAGTATCAGATTTATGTTTATGCGTATCGATAGATTTTAGACAATTGTATGGCTTGTCATTTGATTTTTTAATACTTCTCTTTCAGAGTTTTGGAGAGTATTGTTCATAATCCTCAGTTCCCTGTAAGCTCACACATTTATTTAATCCTTATATTTTCAGCGAGTCGGGTGAGTGGAATGCTGCTGGCTCAGAAGTTTTGTGACAAGCGGGATGTCTACATGCTGTCAACACGCCATCCACCTGGCCCGGCTGGTAACGGTGTGAAGCCTCCTTCTATCCGGGACTACAATGTCAGCATGCGGGCAGTCGATCGCCACGACCAGCTTCTTCAGCCCTATGATGCCACCCCCAAGACCTTGAAATGGTACAAGAAGCTTGGTCTGCGGTTTCTTCAGATTGCCCTACTCCCGCGCGCACCTTCTTGTCAAGAAAGTAGGCAACAGTCAAAGTTTTTTGGATTTCCAGAAAGATATCGTTCACAAATTGTCTTTTTCTGGGGCAGCAGCACCTGACAATGGGGATGACCACTCTGTGTGACTGACGGGCCAGCACTTTATCAACCGCGAGCCAGCCACAGCCTCTAAGACAAAGGCCCAGAAGAAGGGCAGAGTGTGTGCATCAAGAAACATTCCGAAGGACACCAGGTACTGTTGTCTGGACAGCCCCAGCAAACCTGGACTGTGCTTGAGGGATGCTTTCGAAGATACCACTCGGAGCGTTTCTACTGGCTTTACCAGTAAGAGTGCTTTCTAGTGGAAAAAAGACTTTGTGTTGTAACTATATTTTTCTTGGATATACAGTCTAATGTAAGACCTGTTCTACCACCTCAAACTACATGGATGTAAGAGCACTGTTTCAGGTAGGAACATTTTAAAAAATCTCTTTTCGCCTGACAATTTTTTTTTTCAGAATACATTTACCTAAAAATTGTTTACACCAGTGGATTGTATGTTCATTTCTCTTTTATGTGATATACTTTGCTATATCTAGTGCTTATAGTAAGTGAGCTATAGCCATTCAAACAAGCAGACCGTGTCATACCCAGCCACTGTGGAAATTTCCTTAGCACACAGGGTGGACTTTTGGTTAGCAGTATGGACTTGTGAAAACGCTTGAAGAAAAAGTGTAAAAGGTACTTAGGGAAACTTTCTTCAGTCTGAACATAAATGAAGCAACCAGCAACAGTAATGCAAGAGTTTTGTCAGTTCTTGTTTTGTACTTCAATTCTTTTACTGGTGAAACTCACTTACATCATCTGGCATCTATTTCCTTAATCAAGGTTGATGCTCGATCCATCATAGAAGCCTTGGAGAATATGTTTGTATAGAAAGAGCTCCCGTGGGAAAATTTAATGTCTATTTTGATGGACAGCTGTGCAATGTGATGAGGGGGGTCTAAGTCGTGTTGAGACTGTCCTGAGGAAGACTAAGGCATCTCACCTGCTCGACATTGATGGAGACTCATGTCATCACGCACACAATGCATCAAAGAAACTGTGCCCCATTCAATTCAATGGACTAGCTGAACGTCTGTTTCTAGACCTTTCAAATGACTTTAAGTGGAGTTCAGATCAAAGGGTAGCTCTGCGGACCATTTGTGTGATTTTGAACCTTCCCTATGAGAAACCACCACACTACGTTCCCAATCGATGGCTCTCTGTGCTTGATGTCAGTCTCACAACAGAGTCATTGCTTGACGCATACCTCCAGTTTTATAGCAGTTTTGCCCAGCCTTCAAAAGACGTTAGGGACATCATGAATTCATTATTGGCACGCCATAAGATTTCCACTCAGACTGAAGAAATACTGATGGAAATCTGGACTACTTTCAAAAAGAAAAACATGACGATAGAGGGCAAGCAAAGGAAAGAAAGAATATGCAGTGTGCTGTTTACTGAAAACTTGTGTCTAAATCTGGTCATGGGATTCTTTAACAGTGCCCCTCTTTGCCCCTACTCAAGGCCTTTGTTTGTTTGCTCCAGTCTAAAGCTCCAATTGTGCACCTCCTGAACGAGAAACAACATCAGCTTGTTGCAGACTTCCTTGCTTGCTTCAAACCACCAGAAAGCCAGGAAGAAAGGTCTGCACAATATCAAACTTGGAGACCTGCAAATCCTTCACCAAAAAGATACCTTTATTACGAGAAAGTCAAAGGGACTATGCACAAAAAGCAAAATTCGGGCTAGGGGTGACCATCTTCGACCCGGTGGGTCCCAGGTGGCACATAGAGAACGGCCACTGTAATGGAGATTGGCTGTGAATATGTTGAATAAGCAGCCCCAGACCAACTGGTGATGCTCTTACCAGGATGGGATGAGGTGGGACGGTGGCACTATGTCATTAAATGCCCGAGGAGTCCACTGACGGGAGCACCATGCAGAATAGGACCGTATTAAGTTCTAGCTACGGGTGGGATCCGGTAACAATTCCTCCCTGTGCTCCCAAGATAGGTCCTGGGACCTGGAGCTGGAGTACTGTAGTCGGAGGTATTGGGCCGCAAAGCGCACTCTAGAAAACCACAATACCACGTAACACTGCAAAAATGACAGAAGTTGGTACAACTAGATATGGTGCTCGCCCTGTGAAGACCTACCAGGCAGGTGGAGTGCCGGGCCCCAAACCTCGAAAGGGGTCCACCCCAGCGACTGGAGGGCCTTCCATCGTCTTGGAGTGCCAGGAGACGAGGAAGAAAAGTGACTGGTAATAACATAAACACAAAAATGCCAGTGTGGAGAGGTAGACCAAACTGTGGTACACATCCTTTAGCACTGTAAGACACACAGGGCCTGAGACAGGAAACGTGGCCAACCCCACTGACACTACAGGAGAAGCCATACGGGCAGACAGATGAACTGAGCAGGACGGCCCAATATATGACAGATACCGGACTTCAAGTGTGATGCGATCAAGAAGAAGAAGAAAAACCAAAAACTTCCCATTGTGTCAGGGTCTTTCTCAGTCAGATACAACAGGCGTACAGTTTATGGGCTACAGTGTTAATATAAAAAATGCCCCTCAGGAATAAAGTTTTAAAGTGTAGTGCTTTCCTCGACCCAAGGACAAGTGGGACTTCCCACTCAATCAAATACCTAGGTAGGCTACCAAGCATTGTGACAAATAATGCTATTCCAGAGCTGATTCGGACCTTTATGACTTTGAAGTCAGAAGTTTTCAAATGGATGCTTTGTCTGAGTTTAAGGATGGAGACAGACTTGACAAATGGTTGTGAGAAGAGCAGAATTGAGACATATACTCCAAGCTATGCAAAGTGGCTCTGTCTCTGCTGACATGTTTTCAAGAGCTACAAGTAGAAAGCTCATTCAGCTCTAAGGGCAATATCATTAATGACAAAACAACCTCCAAGGACATTTCCACTCATGCAGTGCCTTGCAGTCTGTTAGGTATATTCTGAAGGCTGCCCAAAAGTCAGCAATAGAGTACTTCAAAATGAATGACCACCAGCATGATAAGGTTGACCATGCTCTGGTTGCAAATATGGAGGCATCCTGTACTCTGTTCAAGAAGCAGCTTGCCAAAGTGGCTCAAGAAAAGGAGGAGGAAAGACAAAAACTGGGTTTATACAAGCTGCAAAGAACAGGGAGCAAGAGAGCTTTTGTGGAGACTTTGTGCTCACAAGCCAAAAAGGCAAAAGAGGACCATAGGGCCAAATCTTGACTAGGAACAGAGATGATAGAATGCATGAGAGGGACGCAATAAGAACAGGTGGGTGAGTAAATCTTTTTATGAGACACTAGCTGGCAACAAACACTGAATTTTTTGTCACCAAACTGGGTCAAATGCTTGTTAGTGTCTTGTTTTTTTTCAAATACATGGTTAACAAATCTGTATAACACTTTTCCCTTCCAAAAACATAGACGTTCCAAGAGCATGCCTCTGGATCTCACTGGTTTTACCCCTGTCTTCGGAGAGCGAGCGTACACCTTCGCGTGAATTTCCTCCTCTTTTGAAATTCCTAAGTGGCAGTTATGTGAACAAAACAATGGGATATGAGTAGGGAAAACTCAAGATCTAACAATTAAGAGGCAAGTGTCTTAATTCCTACAGGCAGTAAGTGGGGTTTGAGTTTGCTGTAAACCTGATGTAACAAATCAAGAACATACTATGAAATCAATGCTACAAACAACCTTCATAACGGCAAATTTGAAAATGAGTTCACGGTGCACTTTCATTCAACCACAGACTGCATGTTCTTTATCTACAAACATATTTACAGAAAATACAATTGACTAGATCTATAACACAGTCAGATAATGGAATCGAATCTATACAAACATGTCATTCTTTCACACATCTTTACATCCTCTTTTTCAATCCCTGTTTCCTGTCAGCTCTTTTTTCTGTGGAAATTTCAAGACAAGAAGGATAAATTAGGAAGGAAATGAGAAAATGTATCTTCATGTCTTCAGGCATAAAAATCATTTAATGCTGACGCAAGAAAGACAGAGAAAAAGAGAACGGGAGAGACAGAGAGGGAGAGAAAAACAGAAAGAGAAAGACAAAGGGGGAGAGACACAAAGAGAAACAGAGAAGGAGAGAGTCATGTTGACTATGCTACAGAGAGATATGGCATTTCTTGAAATATACATCACACCGAGTCATAGCGAACTGACATGATGAAGTCCTCATTCTGTCGTAAAGCAGATCTGACCATCAATAACACTGACAGTGGATAGCACAAGGGGCACAGCACCCACCACCCAATGGGATAAAAGAACTAGGCTTCACAATTGGCAGAGACAGAATATGTATGTAAATTTTATGATAGAGGTATGACCGACCCAAGTAACAAGCTCGACTCATTGAGATCACATGCTCCTTTGTCTGATCCAGTAGCCATCTGCTGAGTTCGAGGCCTTTGGCCACAACATGCTTAGATTCCTGATTTGCACCACATGATACAAGAAGTCCACATAAAGATATAAATAAACAGGCTTTCTGTTTTCAGTTTTCAACATCTAATCTAAACAGACATGGACCAAAAAAATGTCATTTAAACAGAAATCATTATTATTTAGCACGAGGCATGACACCGAAGGCACGATTTATGTTGTTTTTTTGTTTTTTAAAGGTTTTTTTTCTCCATTATCAAATTTTATCAATGGAGATTCCTAGATTAATAGATCTAAACGTTTCCCTCTCCTTTGAAAAACATTGTACACACAATCAGATATGGTGGGGGTGGGGCGGACTGTTGTGGTGGCAGGTGTGGATGGTACAGTCAAAATGAGCTGGCAGGTTGAACTGCCCAGTATCCTCTAAGGTTGTGAAGGTAAAGTAAACACCCCAGAACAAATGAGCTGGTAAGAAAAGGGATTATTGCAAACACAGGAAGATTCCTAGCGGAGAAATGAAAACATATAAGTAGTCAAAATTGTTCAAGATGGCCACCCATTGCTAAGGTGAAAAGAGTTGTCTTAGACAGGTGGGCATCTTGGATGTGTCATCATATTTTTAACCCTATCCGTACGTCGTTTTTAACTATCGTATCCATACGACGTGGAGAACTCTGTGCCACCACTTTCCAAAGTGGAAATTTACTCGTTAATCTGATCGATACGCTTTGCATAGCAGTCTGTCAAAATGATTTTTTGAGAAATACTGAAAGTTTCAAAGAGATCTTCGTACTAGAAGTATTTTAAAATGTGAAGAATACAATCCCAGGGGTACAAAATGACCCCAGGGCGTACGGATAGGGTAAAAAATGCAAGGGGGGAAAGTGGGATGTGGTTGGATGTACAGGTGATTGTCTTGGACAGGTGACCCTGAGAGCAGATTTGACAATACAATAACTTTATAACATTGTATGGATTTCCAGGCGTACTCACTTTTTCTTGGGCTTGCTGGGTGCTGTTGAGACGGATGGGGAGAAGATATCCATGGAAGAAATGGAGCCTGGCTCCTGAATGTTAACGTCCTCTTGGCTGCTGGGGTCACGTGGGGTCGGTGCAGAACTGTGTGGGGTGGCCACATTCTCCACAGGTGTGGAAGGCACCACTGACTGCGGGGTTGCTGGGATAGCTGACGTGGACCCAGCTCCGTCAACAGAAGCTGTTCCCTCCGTAGTTTCATCCACTGAGGCAGATGACTTGAGTCTGACCGAGAAAAAGAACAAATATATAAGGCTATAATTAATAATAATAATAATGGATTGCATTTATATAGCGCATATCCACTTATGCAATGCTCTATGCGCTTAACATGATACATATTATGGATTTACAAATCAATTTTAAAGGTACAAAGTGTTACATACTCGTGCAAACACATATTCACTCACGCACGCACCACACACACATACATACACACATACGTACATATTATGCACATACGCACATACAAACTCACAACGATCTACAGCTTGAATGGATTCTGTCTAATCGAAATATGATGAAAATAGAAATGCTTTTAGTTTCTTCTTTAAAATTTCTAGATTTTCTGCTTCTCTGATAGTTTTTGGAAGCCTATTCCAAACAAGTGGGGCAAAATATGAAAAAGAGCGTTGGCCATATGATTTGTAATTTATTTTAGGCTTAACAAGGGTTGTTTTGTCACTTGATGATCTGAGCGTTCTAGGAGGCACATAGGGTGTTAAAAGCTGTTTTAGATAGTCTGGTGATAAATCATTTAAGCACTTGTAGCAAGTTAAACGGATTTTATATATGATACGCTCTTTCACTGGGAGCCAGTGTAATGCTTTTAAAATAGGAGTCACATGATCATGATTTAGTTTTTTAGTAATTATTTTGGCAGCAATATTTTGTACTCTTTGTAGTTGTTGTAACTGTTCATCAGGTACACCAGCCAGTAAGGAATTGCAATAATCAATCCTTGACAATATAAGTGATGTTATTAAAGTTTTGGTGACACCAACAGATAGATATTTTCTAATGCTCCCTATTTTCTTCAGCTGGAGATATAGATTTTTACAAAGATTGGATACATGGTATTTCATTGACATATCTTGATCTAGCACCACACCTAAATTTTTTATTTTAGTTTGGGCTGATATTTCGTGGCCATTGATGTTTATTCTGATATTGTCGATTTCATTGCATGCGCTGCTACGAAGAAATAATATTTCGGTCTTATCCTCATTTAATTTAATAGTATGGTATATAATCTTTCCAGCTCTTGCAATGGTGCTCTCAAAAATGTATATAAAGCTGCTCTTCTCCAATCACCTTTCTGTTTAAATTCTATGTAAGTTATTTTTGGTCTACCTTTGGTTCTTTTGCCTTCTATTTTACCATGTTCAAGGTCACAATAATTAAAATGTGCTCAGGAATAAACTATGGAAGTGCAGAAGAGGCAGGACAACTTGAGGAAATTACAAAAAGGTTGCATTTAAATGCTGGACCCTTAACTTCAACATTCATCTCCAATGAGACCGAGTCAAGCGGGTGGGGAGTATTTAAAACTACCCCCCTCTCCTCCTATCAAACAATTCGACCCAAGAACACCTCACTGAGGATAGGAACTAATTCTAGGTATCATTGTATCATGAAGGTAATTCATTTCATGACAGAACACCAAGCAGATGATAATTTTACAGGCATCAAAGATTGAGGACATTCAGCTTAAACTGTACGTTACAGCTATTTGCGGGAAGTATCAGAGGATTTTTTTTAGGGAACATTAAAGGTAGAAGTCTTGTTTTAAGTAATTCAGGTGGCTTTATCTTGCCTGCCTTGGGTGAAATGTTGTTGATGTTCAGAATTCATCCTTCCCAAACCTCTTAAATTTAGTGGTCATGCTCTATTGAAAATACCTTTTCAGTGGGAGAAACAGATTGAAGCAACAAAAGTTGACAATGAGAGATCTGCTACAGACAATTCTGATCATAAAACAAGCAGTATAGCACTTTCAAAGATGTAAGTTTATTACCCCCCCACCCCCCTTGAAATAGGTGAGCTTCAAAGTCCCATATTATGAGGAGAGTGGATCAGTTGAGATGCTCTTCGATCGTTTACTCCATGATACACCCTTCCTCCCCTCTCCCCAAAACACAAAATTTAAAAAAACAGAAAATGGATAGGAAAATACTGTTGAGAGTCGGTGGACTTCACAGTCCCATATTGTGAGATGGGATCAGTTGTCCTTCAATATTTTACTTACGCTATACCCCTTCCACTAGGTACCACAAACCCCTGCCTCTGCGCAGTTGAAAGCGTGTAGGAAGCTCGAAATTTGGTCATTTTTAATCAACCATAACTCTTTTAATTTGACACCAATCTTCATCCCGTTTTGAACTAAGTCAGTTCAACTATTGTTTTTAACTAAAATCAAACTATTGAGGACAGCACGGAACGAGATATTGTATAGTAAGCTATCTAAAAAGGTCACCGAAATGCACGGGAATGTGTTTTTCGCGTCATTTTTCATGCCGGCCGCGGCGACAAAAATTTAGGGTGCTTCATAAAAAGCCTTCGCGCTAAGCGCCTATAACTGCTATCGTCATGAAACAAAAAGTGCAAGAACGAGCTTTGAATAAACTTTCACCCAGTACCAAGCGCTTGTTGCTAAAGTTAAATGTTGACCCAGAAATATCGGGAGTTTTGGAACCTATTTTAAGAATGGAAATCTCCAAGTCTGACAAATGATTGGTCGAAAGAACCCTGGTCTACTCAAAAGTAGAACATGTCAAGGGAATCGTGTGCAAAAATGACTATGATTGGCCTGGCAGCCGTTTAGCGCCGCCTGTTTTTGTAAACACACATGCTGGTCCCATCTCTGGCGACGCGCTTGATTCAGCAATGGCGAAGAATTATTTACGTGCACTACTACCTATTTTCGATTACGCTCTATTCACGTACATAAGTGCATATTAAGGGCTGCATTGTGCTTCCAATCATGGATAGGGATATTTAGGAGATGTGCGGTAAGTTGATTTTGTTAATTAGATTGTTATAGTGTTACATAGTTCTTCATAAAGTCATCAACCTTTGCCTGACCTAGATCTAGCTAGGGCTTGAAGCCGAGATCGCAAACATGCGAACGGGTGGTCTCATTCAGAGCGTCCTGTAATTAATTCAGTACCCAGTATTGTTGTAAATCTGGTTTGGATAGAAAGATAAGAAGCTTAAATTTCTTGAAAATATGGTGAAATCTAAATCAATTTGTTTTTAGTCATTAAAATTGGTGTTTTTTTCTGGTCACGTGACCATTTAATTCTATCGATGATTCCGTAATGGTGACCTCTTTTTAAAGATCATAACAAGCTTGATGAACTCGTCTGTGAAGGGGGTGCAGCTGGCATTAGTTCATTGATGAATGAATATATTCTCTTGAATATTGCGAATATCTGACAAAGTATTTGATAACTAATTCATTTAATTGTTTTCTTTTAGTCAATATATCTATTTAGACTCATGAAACAAGTACCGGCACCAATTGAATTATTTTTTTCATACAACTTTTAGAGGCTGGTTTACTGCTGAAAATGAACTCTCCTACTCGAGAGCTTCATTCATTTATATAATACGTGATTATCAAATAAGTCGGTACCTTTAGAATTGCTAGATCTATTCCTGAATAGACCCAATTTTTTTTAGATTAATGAGCCATGGGGAATTTGAACTTTGTTGCAGATCTAACTTACTTGTGTCTCCTCCACCCTCTCCCCAATTGTCCTGGCCTTAATTTTATTTGAAAATGGGCTCTGCCCGTGCGGGAGCTTCTGCACAATTTTTATATTTTTAGAAAAAAAATCATCGTCTTGAAACGAAAATGGGCTCTGCCCGGGCGGGAGCTTCTGCCTGATTTTTTTATATTTTTGAAAAAAAATTGGAAATTCTTTCCAATTAAAAAAAAGTAATTAGAATTGAGGAGTTTTTGTGTGTGTTTGTGTATCTGATCTGTCATTGTTGAATATTTACTTTATTAATGCCTCATTTTATCTCAGATTTGATTGCAGAAATGGATTCCTGGCCCAAAAACACACAGAAATGAAGCTTTTGGGCGTCTTTCTTGTTGTTCTATAGAAGTTATAGATGATTTTGTTGAAATTATGCCGAATAATTTATTATTTTTTCTCTTATCTAACCTCATATCATTGTAATGCTTCATGTTATCACAGAAATGATAACAGAAATGGATTCCTGGTCCAAAAGTACATTGGCATGGAAAGTTTCAGAAATTTACCATGATTTTAGGTGATTTTATTCTGAAAAGTGTTTAGGCCATGTGTACCGTGTTGTGATTTTCTGTTTATAACGCAAAATTGGCAGTTTTCCCGTTTTTGTGGTTCCATAACTGATTAAATTGAAGTGCCAGAACTCTGAAAAAAATTGGGCTATGAATTTGCACTACTGTGAATATGTTCTGTAAGTTTCATTTCTTTTCAGCAATAACTTTCCATTTTATTGATATCTGAAATCAGTCTTTTTAGCATTTTTGAATTAACATTATGCATCAAGGAGTAATTTTTTTCCAATTTTAAGTCTCTGTATTGGCTTAATTTAAACTCTGATTGTCCTCATCTTGGTATTTTGCATAGTTTATACTGGCACCTGTTGAAACAAATGATAATACACACTTTATGTACTTGAATATATTTTCTGTGAACTCACAAAATCGCACTTTTTAACGTGATTTTAAAGTTGCCAAAAATTTACGACGTCCACAAATTTCAAACGCCTGTCATTTTTTTTTTAATTGTCCGATTTCTATAATTCAAACACCAAAGTTCATGGTTTGCATAGTTCTTTATGATGCAACAAACATATGTTTGATCAAAGCATTTTGAAATTTGGGTTTGTGGTACCTACTTCCACCTCACTACAAACACACACACACAAAAAAATAGAAAACAAGAAAATAAATAGGCAAATATTAAGAGTAGGTGGACTTCAAAATCATATACTATGAGATGGGATCAGTTGCTCTACGATCTTTTATTCCACGCTACAAACTCACCTGGCATCGGCTGCACTGGTCTTTCCTCCGTGGGAAGACGTCCATCTCGTATCCACTTCAGTAGTCAGCCCAGATGCAGTTTCATGTTCTACAGTGATCTCAAAAGTGCCTAAACCTGAAAATCGATCAGAAGTAGACAGCTCTGCTAAATTAAAAAGGCGATGCATACAAAGAACATGTTTGCATGAATTTCCTATCAGATATCTGTCCCCGCTGGATTATGCGATTGTGGGGCCATGGCCACGTGGCTTTCCGAACGACCACCCACGACCATAAATTCATGCAGAATCATTCTCTCATTCAGAGAAACTTTTCTCTTGTGATTAGTTGAACAAGTACATTATAAGTTCTTCGAGCGCAGCTGATTAGGCTTACTTGTTTAATCTTTAATCATGTCTAGACCTAGTGTTTTACGGCATTTGCGGGCGCATCAGGCCTAGATCTAACAAAACATTACACACAGTCACTCAAACCCCAGTCAGAAACCTTCTCTCAAAGATACATTTCCAGAGACCAATAAAAAAACATTTCAGTCCCCCCCCCCCCAAACTTTTCACCGACCAGTCCTAGACCTCTAGATCTAGATCGATGGGTCAATGGAAAGTTGGATGTGAAAATGCTGTCCATCACTCTCTTTGTCCGGCGAGAGGGGCATGCTCACCAATTTTCTAGGCTTGTCTTACTAACGCAGGATGTGCAGGTTATAGTGAAAATATCCCTTTGTCAAGCTTTACCTGTCGGCGTGTTTCGCAGATCGGAGCGTGCGTTTAGAGGGAGTGACTGTGCGTTTGTAGGCCTACATCTTAATTATATAGTAAAAAACTCGTCAGATGACGAAAGCGTACCTTTGAGCGGATCATGCTAATGTATGGCGTGCGTTTAGGTGGAGACTACTGTACACAAAAAAATTACTGATACTGATATGTTCTGTTTTCAATTCTTCTGTACATAAAACATGAAAATTCTAGTTGAAAAAGACCAAAACATGTCGTGAACGGCATTACGGTAACTTGCATAATTTTGTATTTGTCTAGCATAATTTAGCCATCTAAATTTGCATAAATCTGCGGGGACAGACATATTGATATAGACATTATATTGGTAAAATCTGAAAATATAGAATACAACACAGAACCACCCCCCCCCCCCCCCAACCATCAAAACACAATTGTTCTCAGGTGTTTGAAATAAAAGACTGAAAACACATTAGTAACTGTATTACCAGTACTTGATATTAATATCTGCCTAGAGAGAAAAAAAGAAAGAGAAAGAGAGTACGAGATAAAACATTTGTTAGACCCTGTGTTTGTGGAAACCACGTGAACAGCAAAACCAAGAATCCAACTCAACAAAATTCATTGGATGTGAGGTTCACTGTCCCTTTTTATTCTTCTACTAAAGGCAAAGTCAAAGCAGTATCTTCTAAAATATTGAAATTGTGTCTATGGTGGCACAAAAGGTTTCTTAAAACCAAAAAAAACAACAATAATGTCACTTACTCTCAATGTTCAACAGCTGCTCTGCCTCATTCACTTCATCATTTTCATCCAGCAAAGGGAACTGCATCTCCGCGCTAGGCTCCTCCTTGATCCTAGTCAGAAAAGGGTGACACACAGATTCAGCCAACAGCAAACTCCCCCAAAACTTAACCCTTACAGCCCTAGTCACGTTATATTTCCCTCATGATTTGTTGTTCCCACAGTCCCAGTTGGATGTATTTCACAAACAGGATAAAGGCTACCCTAAATGCAGTTGGATATTTTTTCGGCAACTAGTTCAATTGACCTGAAAAATATTCTACACGCTATCTTCTAAATCTTTAAACAAAAGCAGAAAAGAAATTGTTTTGACGTCTGCAAAAAATTACAGACACAATCAGTCTTTACTGGGCCTGAGGAGTCAAGGACTCCAGAATTACATTGGCCAGAAGGAAGTGAGGGCTAAAAATAGCCCACTGCTGTAAGGGTTAAAAAATTCAGGGACCAATTTCAACTTAACTAGGCTCTGTTGTCACAGTAAGGATCCCCATACCTCACACAATACTGAGGACCCTTGTATCCAAAATGATTTAATGAGGTCCCCTGCAATTCTATACGGTATGGAAAACCCCAATACCCAACACAGAGTTGAAAACCCCCAAACTTTTATACAATACTAAGGACCCTCCGTGCCTCCACACGATACTGAGGACCCCCATATCTCACACAATATTGAGGACCTCTGTATCACACACACTACCAATATATAACCACACAATACTGTAGACTCTCCATACCCTACACAATGATAAGGACCCCTCCCCCCCACTTTTATATATACAAAATACCCCCATACCCACACAATCTTGAAGACCCCATACCTAACATAATATAGAGGTCCCCTGTATCACACAATGATAAAGACCCCAGTATCCCCATCCCCTCCCCCCCCATACACACACGATGTGGTGAGGGCCCTTGTATCCCACAAACAAAACTGAAGACCCCCATACCCCACACAATCTTGAAGACCTTCTTACTCCACAAACAATTCAAGACCCCCTATACCCCCACACACTGTTGAGGTCCCATGGATCTCACACAAGCTGAAGACCGTAATACCCCACAGTTGTTGAGGATTCTCACATCCCCCATAAGACCCAGGACCCCCGTATCCAAACTAATGTTGAAGACCCTTTGTTTCAGTTTTAGTAGTTTTACGGAGCTCGCAACTACATAAGGTCATATGAGCATAAAGGGGTGGATGTCAACAGAGAAGTCCTTACAGGGAATCAGACTTACTTTGCTCACCTCTCTAGCTTCAGCAGCACAAAGTCTGCTTCGACAATCAAGGCACCCCGGAAATAGCGGGTCACAAGAGTGTGATACAAAAGAAGTAGAGGAAAATGACGATAGCAGGGAATAGGAAAGAAAAAGCCAAAACACAATACTGATCACAAACACTAAGACACTTGGATAACCTTACATTATAAACAAAAGGCTGGATTCAATACTCACTGTATTATGAAAGTAATGTGCTGGAACAATGCTGATTCAGTTTCACACTAAAGTCTGATTTTAAAACTCACCTTTGGGCGATTGGTGGGGGCCTTGGTGAGGTTTGCTTCTTCTTCCTTATCAAACATCTATCGTCTCTATCACCCCCTCCTTTTCTTTGTAGATTACTCTCTAATAACACCTCTAACCTTCCGCACTTATATGACCTACTTGTGTTGCAAGTGCTGCAACACTCTTACTACTAAAACAAAACTGAGACTCACCTGATCACATGTAACGTGTCACCGTCTGTCGGAGAGCCGCGTCCTCCTTTCGACGCTGTGGGTGGCTGTTTGACCTGTGCGCTGTGCTGTGCCATCAGCTGCTCACACTGCTGTGTCAGTCGCCGGTGGTACTGTAACACGCGCTGCTGGTAGAACTGGTGCAGGTCTGTCACACTGCCCAGACCCATGTCGTGGAAGACTCGCTCCATGATATCCTGGGGGAAGCAGCCACAAGTAAATGTAGGGGGCCTACATATGCATGCTCTAAAGACCATCTGTCCAAGACAATCACCTGCACAAATGACCACTTCCCACTTGCTTAAAAAAAACAACCCACATTATAATGATACTGTCCAAGAATTCCACCTGTCTAAGACTACAACTTTTCTCCTCAACAATGGGTGGCAGTCCTGGACAGTTTCGACAGCATCACGTTGTGTATGAGTGTGCATGAGAGGTGTGTGTGTGTGGGGGGGGGGGGAGACGGAAAGAGGCGGAGAGACCGGGGGGTGGTGAAGGAGAGGGAGAGAGAGAGAGAGAGAGAGAGAGAGAGAGAGAGAGACAGAGACAGAGAGAGAGAGAGACAGACAGACAGACAGACAGACAGAGATCATGTTTATTCAAGAACTGGTGCAGATCTGAAACGCTGCCCAGACCCATGTTGTGGAGGACTCGCTCCATGTCCTGAGGGAAGCAGCCACGAGTAGAAGCATATCATGATGTGTGTGCGTGGGTGTGTGTATGTATGTGTGTGCGTGTGAGTGTGTATGTATGTGTGTGCGTGTGAGTGTGTATGTATGTGTGTGTGTGTGTATGTCTATGTGTGTGTGAGTGTGTGTGTGTGTGTGGGTGTGTGAGTGCGTGTGTAAGCGAGAAGAGGGAAAAGGAAGAAAAAGACAGAGTGGGGGAGGAAGAGGAAGAAAGAAAGCAGGGAGGACAGAGAGGGAGGAGGGCCGATGGAGAGGGGGAAGGAAAGAGAGAGAGAGAAGGAGAGAGAGAGAGAGAGATAGGGAGAGGGGGAGAGAGAGAGAGAGAGAGAGAGAGAGAGAGAGAGAGAGAGAGAGAGAGAGAGAGAGGGAGAGAGAGGGAAGAGAGAGAGAGAGGGAGAGAGAGAGCGAGCAAGCGAGAGAGAGCAAGAGAGAGTGAGAGACAGAGACAGAGAGAAAGAAAGATCAATTTCAGATCTTTGCATGAGACGAAGAAGCCAAAAAAGCTGATAAACTTTTATCGATAAACCTAACCCTCCCATCACTTACAGGGAAGCCCAAACAGCCGTGAGTAGCCCTTCTGTCCGCCGCAGCTGCCAAGTGTCTCGTTATCTGGCACAAGAACTCGTGGCAAACGTCTGTCAGTGTTTCAAGAACAGACTCTGAAGAAGCTGAGAAAGAGAGACAACAGAAGATTCTCGTTAATTGCAATTTACTACGATTTTTTTTTAAACTTCTGATTAGTGACTTACAACTTTAATCGCAACCAAAACTATTTGGAAAGTTCAGACTTTTTTTAGGTTTCAAAGGGAAGTAATCAAAATTAAACCTCTAATTCATTTTAAAATTAAATACGAGGTAAATACCTTTAATTGACATTTTTTTCTTACCAACCATTAAAGAGGACATATGTAATTACAAAAGCTGATACTTTATTGGCTAAAATACTTTTTGAAATTCACATAAATAACTGAATGACTATGGAAGAAATATGGTTTAAAAAAAGTATATTCTGAATTTATTATTGTTTCAATATTTCTAATTTTTTTTTTGTAAGTGTTTTATGGCGCTCGCAACTGCATCAGGTCATATGAGCACGTGGGACACACCTAACATTTTCCGTTGGCAGGAAATTTTGAATTTTGCCCGGGTAGTGGCCGAAGTCTACTCTTATCGATTTTGGACCACCAAGGGATCTTTAACCTATGCAACTTGCACACGGGACCTCCGAGATTTTTCGCCCTTGTCTGAGAAGGTTAGGTGTAGATCTTTCCTACCAGAAGATCAGGGGTGTGGCTGAAAGACAGCAGTAAGAAGGAGCCATGGAGAAGCAGTGGCAAGCCTGTAGAAAGAGTCAGGAGGTGAAGGGGTGGGGGCAGAAAGTGGAGACGAAAGCAGACGACAGCATATTGTTAGAGAGCAGGAAAGGAGGTGAAAGGAGAACATTTTAGAGAAGAACATTTTTTCGGTCGCTATCCGGATTCGAACCCAGGACCTTTGTTGAATGAGAGGCAAACACCGTAATCTCTAGGCCACGAGAGCCCCCTTGTTTCAATATACTGAAATCCAGACCAATGATTTTATAAAATGACCAGTTTTGATATTTAATTTGTGACTTCTAGGACGTTACCAATAACCTAGCATCTGCGTTTGTTGCCATTTTTTTGTCCAAAAGTTGCCAAATGTTGCCAAAAAATTGGCAAAAGTTGACAAAAAAGTTGCGACATATATTATATATAGCATGTTGAATGAGGTAACTTCATCTAAAGCACCAGAATTTCTTGTGTTCTGTTTTAAGCAACCAGAATATCATTTGTAGCCACACAGGATGTAAAACGTGAAAAATAAAGGTTTCAAAACAGAATGAAATCAAAATTAGAACAGCACATAAACAATTACAAAAATTAACAAATAAAAATGTGTGTTAACCTATCCGAAGATTGGCCGTTTCAACCCTAAACGTGTGTAATTCAAGAAAAAGTACAGGATATTACTTACATGTAAATTATGGAACTACACACAGTGTCAGTAGGCCTATTCAGTTTTGGTAGAGACACGCTTTAACATAACAATTTTTGTATTTAAAAAAAGGTGGGAACAACATCAAATTAAATGACATACGCTATATTATAGATAAACATAAAAAACGGGGGCTCTCTTGGCCTATAGGTTAAGGTGTTCGCCTCTCATTCAAAGGTCCCGGGTTCAAATCCGGGTAGCGACCGGAACAATTTTCTTCTCTAGAATTGTCTCCTTTCAGGTCCTTTCCTGCTCACTAACAATGTTCTGTCATCTGCTTTCGTCTCCACTTTCTGCCCCCACCCCCTCACCTCCTTTGCCCCCTCCTCTGGGCTCCTGACTCTTTCTGCAGCCTTTCTACTGCTACTCTTTGGCTCCTTCTTACTGCTGTCTTTCAGCCACACACCTGATCTTACGGTAAGAAAGATCTACACCTAGCTTTCTCGGAAAAGGGCAAACAATCTCGGAGGTCCCGTGGGCAAGTTGCACACGTAAAAGATCCCTAAGTGGTCAAAAATCGATAATAAGAGTAGGCTTCGGCCCCCAGCCACCCGTATTAAATTCAAAATTTCCTACCAACTGAAAATGTTTAGCGTGTCCCGCGCGCTCATTCATATGACCTTGGCTTATGCAGTTGCGAGCGCCGTAAAACACTTATAAAAAAACCCAAAAAAACAAAACATCAAAACCCCCCCCAAAAAGAACACATTAGAACAATAACTAGGTAACTTAAAACACAATAAAGAGGGACAAATTAAAGGGAAACAGCAATACATAAATAGTATGTAATGTACTTATTCTTCACATGAAAATTCATTGAAAATAACAAATCAACGTGGTGTCAACAAGTGAGAAAGAGACAAAGTGAAGAGGAAGTGAAAATAAACTTTCTAGTTTTTCTTTCTAAAAGTAAAGTTAATGATGATCAGTGTCTTTATTTTTAGGGTCTTGGTATGTTTTCTTTTTTAGTTTCTAAATTTTTATTCCACGTGGTTTGTTTTTCAATTTTTTATTCCTGAGCAGTATTTTTTTGTTGTTGAAAAATGCGAAAATATCAGCCGCGCTTCATGGACCAAAATTTGCCCAAAAAATCGCGGCAGCGACAGCGACAAACGAAGATGCTAGAATAACACATACCCTTCATTTGTTATATGGTGAATAATTAAGAAAAATTATATTCTTCTAAAATAAGAAAAAGATTAATAGAGCTTTTATAAAATCATGGAATTCTGCGGGGAATCACTTCTGGTCTAAATCCCATGTGAATAAATGACTCAAAATGCCTGATATTTCAGTCTTTGGTGGCTTACTTACTGTCAAATGAGAGGTGAGCACAGATAGCAGCTGTGGAGCGGCGGAGATGTTTCCTGCATGTGATGTCATCAATGGAAGAAGGCTGTTTACCCTCTCCACGTACAAATGCACTGTAGATGGACCCAACAAGCTGAAATTTTTTTTAGTTGAGTAACTTAACAATATCGTACCTGATGGAGCCAGGAATTGAAAACTCAACTTTTTCTTATGGTGAGCCCAAAGCCTCACCCCTCGACTAGAATGCCATGAGGAGTGAAAAGAGTAAAGAAGCAAAGAGAACTGTGTTTAGTTTGGTGAACGTTTTATGGTGCTTGCAACTGCTTTAGGTCATATGAGAGTGTGGGAAACGAGTAGGTTGATTTCACGTTAGTTCATTTCATAGCATGGCTTAGTTTCACTTTGCAAGTCGGAATGTTTGAAGTATAAAAAAATATAAAGTAAAAATGAATTTGTAAAGTAACAGTAGTTTTCATTTTTAAAAATAACTACCGAGTATTTACAATTTCTGCAATAACCAATGACCTTAACAAAATTAAATTAAAAATTCTGTTGGGATAAATGATGGACAACAAAATCTTTAAATTAGTAAGTTTAACATATTTTTTTGGGTCTCTCCAATGTTGGGACATTTCATCCAGATGTGTCTGATGGTAAAGTCAGTATTGCATCCGATTAAAATGGTTTTTCATCTCCATGCAGCAGGTGAGACAAGCGGATAACAATAAAATAATCATAATGAACTGTAATTGATTGCATGGTAAAAATAACAGTCTGACTATTTATCCAACATTCTGGAAAGAAAAAGAACCCCCCCTCCCCCCAAATTACTCTCTTGCAAGAAGCCTTGACCAAAACTTTGAAGGCAGCCTGCATTAGAGTGCATGAAGCTTCCAGTGTCCTTTTTTGACAGTTACATTCACAGCTCCAAATCTTTTTTAAATTTTAATGTACGCATTTTTACGCCTCATCAACACGAATTGACAGTGAGAGAGCATAAAAATGTTACTTTAAAAAAAAGGATCCTCATATTCTCACATTATTCAAAATACAAAAGCTATCTCTGTACAAACAAAGGGATCAATAAACGTACACGGTCTAAGAGACAGCCCTGAGAGAGGACAGAACCAAACAAACCTGTTATAGTTCTCATCAGTGTAGACTTTTTTTCTAGAGGGGTCTGGTATGGGCGGGCCATCATAAACTGGAATAGGGCCAACGTTATTGGCCGTTGCATCAGGATCTGACTTCTGAAAGAAACAAAGTTAATGATGGCAACTCAGCCAAGCGTCAGCCATATTCGACCAGAAGGCTGATGTATACAATGATAACAGAGGGAAAAAAAACAACATGGACAGAGCAAACTAGCCAAAAGTACCTTCCAACAACAGTCTTATGCTGCTATAGTATAGTTTGAACCCTAGAGGAGCCGAGGTTGTGTGAAGCTGAAATGGTCTTCCGTAAGAAAGTTAATAGACTATGAACTACCAACTTTAAATTAACTTTGAAAGACCACGGAACATATTTTAACAGCATCTTCAAAACTGCCATATATGCTCATGACTCAAAAGGGCATAAAAAGTGAGCATACTCACAGTAGAAATCATAATCTTCTTCTCATACTTCTGCTAGAGGCCAGGAAGTAACTAAAAATAATAATAATAATAATAATAATAATAATAATAATAATAATAATAATAATAATTTTTATAGAACTTGCTCCCATGTAAACACAGCTCAAGATGCTTCATCTCACAGCTGATTTTATGAACATGCATGGCTGTTTTATCTAAGAACTTAGAACTTGCCTGACAGACGGATTTGATCTAAGAGCTTAGAACTTGCCTGACAGACGGTCACATGCTGTTTTTGAAGGTACTCTAAATATTCATAAAACTTTAACATGGGACCTCTGAGATTTTTCATCATTATACGAGAAAACTAGGTGTTCGATCCTACCTACCCTAGGATCAGGGGATGTAAAAACATGAGAAAAATAACCTGACGTCAGCGAGGATCAAATTCCAGACCTCTGGGATAACAGGTGAACACCGTACCTGTTGAGGTACTGACCCCCTAGAAATTATAATAAAACACACAATCCTAAGAGGGCGTGTCCCCAAATATCATGTATATAATACAAACCGACTAACCAGGTCGTTCTGTAAGTCACTGATGGCAGCTTGCACTTTCTTGATGTGTTGTATCAGTCGGATCGAGTGAGTGACCAGTGGATCCATTTGGAAGTGCTCACTTGGAAGGACTCTAGAAAAATAGATTTATATAAGAAGTCTAACAGCTAGATATATATCAATCAGAGGTGAAAATAGACACGAGAAAATTGTTTTTAAAAGTTTTATAAAGGACACATCCCTGGGCTTTAGGCGTTTTGGTCAAGACTTAACAACTTCAGTTCAGTTAGCATGACTTTACTCCGAAGACTTATAGGGAAAAGACAGTTTAGAACAAAGTCAAATAAACAGGAGACCAATCCTGAAGTTCATAATCATTTAAGGTTACTAGCATGCACTATTTGAGAGTCACATTGGGTGGGGGGCTGACTTGGGAAATGGGGGGGGGGGGGGGGGGGCGCTCAGTAGGCTCACTTTATGATAAAACTTTATCTATATTTCATTTTTATTAAACTCAATTGTAACATTTCACATATATATGTCAAATTGGTGAGCTATTAGTTCTTGGTGGCTGTGCAGACAATAACTGACAAAGTTTGTTTTCAGAGTAAAATTCATTAAAAACTTGCACGCAAAAGATTCCTCCAAGTAATAGACATACAATGATCTGAAATCTGAAAAAATAATCCATCACAATCACATATATATGTATAGTCGTTTCAGTAATTTTCATTCCAGTGCACTATCTCCATCTGAGACGAGTAGTTCCAACCTCATGTTGTGTGCAAAAGGGAGCTTTGAAGGGAATAAAACTAACATTATTCACTTTAATTCTCACACTTAAAATTTTTTTTATAGCAAAATAACTGGGAATAGAATGGGGAAATCACTCACAAAACATTGTAAATATGATGTTATGAATCATCTCTTCTAGAAAACTAGAGAAACAGTGACAATTTATGCCCGAGGAGTTCAGAACATTCAGTGCCTCGACAATCTCAGCACAACCTGAAGAGTTCTGGACGAGGCGCAGAAGGGGTTTAATAAGACAGGCTGAGACTTACAAAAGCAACAGGGGCTGACATGATAAGGCTTGATACAGCCGATCACCCCATTCAACATAGCTAGGTTATTCATCAAGAGGCAGGACTGCTGAGTCTACGCCTATTCTCTTTAAAGGAATTGAGCCAAATGGAAGCAGAGCCATAACTTCTATAATCATCCAATTGGATGGAACTGGCCAATCCTCAAAACCCTTGAAAATGTAGAAGATGGATCTATAGCAGCAGCTTTGCAGGGGATGCTGGAGAGGTATATATAGTGACATTGTTACCGTATGCTCCTGCTACATCCTTTTATTCTTTCTTTCTTCTGTTATTGCACTTCTTGGATGCAAAGCACCTTAACTCTGAGAAAAAAGCCTGTGACTTTGTTAATCCTAATAGCGTTTCTTGCACAAGCATTTTCATTTGAATTAAGCAAAGGCAAAACATGAAGCTTAATAGAATTTTTTTTTCACTTTATGTGACCAAATATTTTTACGTGCATGCAGCAAAAATATAGCTCTCACTCATTAGTAGGAGGATGATGTCTGCTCGACGGCTGATGCAACGGTGGTCCGTCCACATCTATAGCTCGGGGCCGGGTGATCTGCTCTCGCTCCAGAGCCGCTATGCCAGATTCAGTGTCAGCAACAGCAGGGATCTCCCCCCAGTATGCCCCACTGCTCATCGTGATATAAGATGCTGGAATTGCGGGTACGAACCTGTACAAAAGTTTATGAAAGTTCTCAACTCCTTTGGGAGGGATGAAAAGAGAAAGAATGAGTGAGAGGGAAAGAGAAATATGAGAAAGGAGACAGAAAGAGAGTGGAGAAAGCACCTAAAGAGAGAGAGAAAGAGAGAGAGAGAGAGAGAGAGAGAGAGAGAGAGAAAGAG